CCCCGCCGAACCGTCGCGCCTCCTGACCGGTCAAACCCAGCTCTCACTTTCTCCTTGCGCGCCCGGTGCTCCAGCCAGCCCCCTGGGTGCAGCCGGATGAGCGCCAGGCAGGGGGACATGACCACGACCCACGTCCGGCTGGCCGTGTTCATGCTGTCCCGTCCCAGAGGCACAGGAACCAGGTTAAGATGTCACCAAGGTGCTGCTGTGAGTTTGTGGCAACGTGCCTACACCCACAGCTTGGTTTTTGCAGGGCTGGCACAGCACATGGCTTCTGCCTTGGACATAGTTGCACCAGAGCAACGTGGTGACCTGGAGCATCTCCAGAACGAGTCTCACCTTCGAGCACAAATGCCCAGCCGCTCCTGCAGACAGGGGAATACCCACAGAAAATAAAGGGAACGGTACTGAATGTATGGCGCGCTAGAGGAACACGTAGAGGATAGGAACTTCTTACCTCACAAGGTCTTGGTTACGCCGTGTTTCCAAAGCTGAGTTCTTCAGAGGCCCTGAAACTTCACAGAAAGGGCAAGAATTTGATGGTAAGCGTTTTCCTCCAGAGCCTCTTTCTTTCTGAGTGCTCTCTTATACTCTGTTTTGACTGTAGTTGTCCAAATGGACAATTTCCTCTGGAGTAGAAGCTGTTCAAAAAAAGAGATAATGGTTTTGGAAAGAGGAGCTTAGGAAAACCGGAAAATTCATGTTAGTCTATTTTATGGGATTCATGCTTGTGTGATTTAATTTGCTTAAGTATTTGTCAAAGGACGGCATCTTCTGTCAAACATCTAAAACAATAAACAAATGAACATCCAACTCCATTTGCATTTGTGTAGTCTATAACCCTTACAGCATGAGATCAATGTGCATTTAAAAGGGTAAGAAACACATACAGAACAACCATCACTAGCTTCATTGGCTTTTGGCTTTTAATGGCAACACTATAAATCTGCACCTGGAATAATTAAAGCTAACCTCTGCCTTCTGTGGCTGAAAGATACCAGAAAAATGATTAAAATCCTACCCTTATATCTTTTTCTTCAATGTGTTGACAATATCTTCAATATAATTGGTTTCAGTTTTCCCCTTTTAAAATGAAGGTAGAGGATTTGCAGACTATAAACTTTGCTTGGAGAAAAAGCTCAAAATAGTAGAAAGGAACAGAAATATCAATTTAAACATGCTATTTAAGGGAGCTATAGCATAATTTTGGCTATTTAAAACTGCTCTAATTAGGTTTAGTGATATAAAGTTTAAAGTGTCCCCTTCATCATAAGAAAGCAGGTGTTTTCATTCTGAATTGGCTATACTGCCATCAGGCTCACTGCTTTTATATTGCTTGCTTTCTGTAGGCCTTATTCTAAGTCTCTGGAATAACTCTGGAATACAAAAGCTGTATTTTAGAAACCTTGAACATGACAAGCAAAAAATCAAAAGACAACATATCACACAAAAATTGAAGTGGAAAACCGATATATTCAGCTACATGAAATACCAGATACCCCAACATACATCCCTCCAGGAACGAAGAAAGAGATGCCTTGAAGTCGTGCTGATTTGTAAGTACAGAAAGCAGGAATCGCAAAGGCTGAAGGATGCATCTGGGACATCCTGGCCATCATAGCTGCGCAGAAGAACCTTAAAACTACTTCTGCCCCCAAGATTTTACAACAGCAATGGAGTGATGGGATAGACAGAGGGACACGAGGAACAGCTTAATTCACAGATGCTTTTGGTTTTTCATTTTCTGAGTCTTTTTCAACAACTATTATGCATTGCATAATAGTTTTTTCTTTTTCACTCAATTGCTAAAATGCTCAAGTACTTAAAGACTATTTTACTTTCTTATTGTTTACTACATAGTGTTGAGACCTATTGCAATCTATCTGAATCAAATTCAGTAACAGGTTTAGCATATCTCTGTATCAGAAACAAAAATCGCAACATTTTATACAATTATTTTTTGGCTATTCAGGAGAGGGTGTGTGTGCATGTGTGTAAACTAGCCCAGAAACCTAACATTTGTCAGTTATGAGCACAGAAAATGGAGTGTTACAGCAGGATGCTTGGAAGAAGCTTAATAACAACCAATACCATTAGCTCCATTACTCAGAGATTCCACCACAGACATAACATTTAAGAGTATGGAAAAATATATATGCATACAGACATTCTGTAAATGCTGGAGAGTATAGTAGATGTCCCTAAATCACAAGCTTAGACTTCAAAATAAGGATTGCTTTGTTTTTTAGTATTCGAAAGACACGATAGGTATGTTACAATAAAATGTGCCAGAACAGAAAAATGTATCATGTGTTTTACTGAAAACCCAAAAGCCTGTACAACATTTAGTTACGCATTATGATTGCAAAAGCCAAAATTACGGCATCACTGTCATAAGGAAGTGTTTAATGATCAACATGTAATACTCATATATATTAATTCATCCTCGGTATTCATTTCTTACTGTACCACCTTATTTCCTTTCAGTTACTTAACTTGACAGATTCTACCTCCCTCCTCTGAAGATGCCCAGTAAAATCAGTATTAGTTGCTGCCTCTTACAGTCAGTTGCGTCTTGTCATTTTGATGCTTTATTTCTCAGGTCTGCCCGTTGCGGGTAGGTTTGAAAGTAAACTACCGTTATTTCCATTGTTTTATATGCTCAAAGGTCAAACCCACCAAACGATGCATATTTTAGACATCTTAACAGTTACATAGCTCTTTTTTCCCTTGTTCATTGTGTCTCTAAATCACGTAGCTGATGTGATCCAATGGATTACCTCCATTGCCCTTTAACGCTGTGTTGACGTTTTCAATGGGTCATGAGAGACAGAGGTTTTTCTCATGTGTATGATAACTTCCTCCATAAGCACTGGGCTTTGAGATGAAAATTTATATACCATTTCAGAAGAACTACACAGTATATTTATAGTTTCAGAATATGCGTAAATTCGTAATTTGTTGGCAGATACCATACTTTAATCAATAATCCGTTTCAATTTTTTTTTAAGCCACAAAAGCTACATGAGAAATGATCAGCCCCTATAATATCTGCAGATGAGTTCCCTTTTCTATTACTTCCAAAGCTTTCTCAACGTATCAACTTACTCTGCTCTGTGAAAAGACGAGCGACTCAATCCGTTAAAATAGTCTTTTAAGGAACCGCTCACATTGCTCATATTGTTGTTCATTCCTGTCTGCAAACTGGAGCTGAAAGTTCCTGAGATCAGGCCATTGCATACAGTACCTCGCAGAGCTGGACTCAAAATGAACCCTATTTTGTCCGATATATTCTAATTAAAGCAAGGAATTGGGTGCCAAGTGAAAATTAAAAGCCAACTAAAGCAAACTTTCAGATTTCAGGCATGTTGAGACTGACAGGGTTTTGACTGGATGGTTTGAGTTGGCTCCACGAATGGCAAGGTTTAGTTGCAACAAAGCCTTAGGCTGCAGGTTTACTGGACTGCTGTCTTACACATCTCTCTTCCCCGCACTCACACCAGGCTTACCTCTTCTTCAAGCCTTTTTAATTTTAGCTGTTTGCATTAATCATGGGAGATGGGAAAATATGGTAAACAATCAAGTGAGTTTAACCAAAGGATAGGGACTCACTGAGCATCATGAACTACATTTGTATGCTTAAACTCAGTATACGTTTGAATAAAAAACGCTGAAAAATCAGTCCCTTGCAATTGGTCACAGAAAACAGATTGAACAAATAACTAAAAAAGTAGGTAAAGTAAAAAAACCACCTAAAGGTCAGAAATACTGACTTTGTGAGGGTAACTCAATATCCCAGGGATGTACAAGAGGCTGGCTAAAGAACTAACGACTAGTTCCATAGGAAGGTACCGTATGGAACCAAACCAACCAAAACAGGGCAAGAAAATGCAGGAAAGAGAGAGGGAGAGAGAGAGAGTGTGTGTGTGTGTATAAAATATATATACATA